TTGGATAATTTGTTCTATTTACACTTAAGCCAGCTATTGATAAGTAAGATCTTATTATTGACATTCTAGTTCTTGTTTTGGTTATTTTTGACTGTTTTGAAATTTCTTTTTTCCTTTTTTTCTCTTTCTCTATGATTTGGCGATTTTTATCTAATGGTACAATTTGATCAACCTAACTTTGTCTTTTGTTTTTCTACCAGAAAATCTTGCTTTATAACTTTTGGGGGCTCGCATTTGAAAATTAATATATTCTCTATTGTATAATGATGATAAGTTAATTTCAGTTATATAAATGCATAATATTTTCCTGACCAAAAACAGGATATATGGTTTTGAAATGAAAGGAAGGAAACAGAAAGAATCATGAATAAATGATAAATTTGTTGGTTGGTTATTGTACAAAGAAAAGATCAGTTAATGCTAAGCCACATAAATAAATTTCAACATTTTATAGTGGGGAAATCAAGTTTTTAGACTATTATATTTTAAAAGACCACATTTTAAAAGTTGATTTGTACTTGTATGTGATAACTGGAGACTTAGTTTTTAAAAACTTACAAAACCTGGTATATAGTGGTTTATCATATCACATAATGATATGATTATGGTTCATAAAAGAAAAAGACAGGTGGAATGTGGAGGTGTTTGCGTGGGGATTGTCTTATGCTCTGTTCTTCATAAGACACCACATAAAGACTTCTCTTCCTCAACATTGAAAAAGTATGTATATAAATGCAGTGTTTCTGCTTAGAGAAGCTATCTAGGTGACTCAGTACATAATATTTCTGTTTTAGATAACCTGTTAACATGTGCCAAAAATTAATACTCACAGACGCATAGACTACATTGGGGTGTGTGTGTGTGTGTGTGTGTGTGTGTGTGTGTGTGTGTGTGTGTGTGTGTGTGTGTGTGTGTGTGTGTAGGCTCATGTGCATGGACCCAGAGATCAACATCAGGTTTCTTGCTCAGTCATTCTGTATGTTAAGTTTTGAGACAGGTTCTCTCAATGGACCTTGCATTTGCTTACTGGCCTAAACTGACTGGCAAGAATATCACAGGAATCGTTATTACCACCCAGTTTTCAGATTTTCTTTATGTTATGTGTATTAGTGTTTTACCTTGTGTGTGTCTGTGCTTTATATACATGCAGTGCCCATGGAGGCCAGAAGAGGGCACCAGATCTTCTAGAACTAGAGTTACAGATAGTTGTATATCTTAATTTGTCCTATCTTCTTGCTTGTGAGCCTAGACTTCAACAGCTGAGCCATCTCTCCAGTTCTATCTTAATTTTCTTTAAGATAGAATGAATATGGAACACAGACCTTTTGAAATAAGCAAGGGTTAAGACAGTTCGTTTCCTATGTTGTTGCATTAAAAATACCAGTGTATGAGACTGAATAAATAGTTCCATGTTAAGCGTACTGGCTGCATTTTCCAAAGGACCTGGGTTCCTGCATGGCAGCTTACAGCTGTCTGTAACTCCAGTTCCAGGGGATCAGATGCCCTCTATGGCCTCTGAGGACACTGCATGCATATGGTACATAGATACAGCAAAATACTAGAATACATAAAAAGCAAAATACCCATATACATAAAATAATTTTTAATGTTAGAAGTTGTTAAAATAATCTAGAAGAATGATTATACTTCAAGAAAATTGAGATTTATAAAAGAATGAAATTCTACATGTGATAATTATGTAGATTTAAACAGAATTTTCACTTTATAAATAATCTTTAAAAGAAAAATTACCAGATCCCAGTACAATTCTTCACAGACCTTGAAAGAACAATAATCAGTTTTGTATGGAAAAACAAAAGACCCAGGATAGCCAAAACAACACTGTTCAACAAGGCAACGTCCGGAGGCATCACCATCCCTGACCTCAAGCTCTATTATAGAGCTATAGTCCTGAAAACAGCTTGGTATTGGCACAAAAATAGACAGGTAGACCAATGGAATCGAATTGAAAACCCGGGTATTAACCCACACACATACGAACATCTGATCTTTGACAAAGAACCTAAAAATATACAATGGAATAAAGAAAGCATCTTCAACAAATGGTGCTGGCATAACTGGAGACTGGCGTGTAGAAGAATGCGGATCGATCCATGTTTATCGCCATGCACAAAACTTAAGTCCAAATGGATCAAAGACCTCAATATAAATCCAGCCACACTGAACCTCTTAGAAGAGAAAGTGGGTGGTACCCTTGAACAAATTGGTACAGGAGACAGCTTCCTGAACATAACACCAGTAGCACAGACAGTGAGACCAACAATTAATAAATGGGACCTACTGAAACTGAGAAGTTTCTGTAAGGCAAAGGACACAGTCAGCAAGACAAAAAGGCAGCCCACAGAATGGGAAAAAATATTCACTAATCCCACATCTGACAGAGGGTTGATCTCCAAAATTTACAAAGAACTCAAGAAGCAAGTCTCCAAAACATCAAAGGACCCAATTAAAAAGTGGGCTGCAGAACTAAATAGAGAGTTTTCAATAGAGGAGTCTAAAATGGCTGAGAGGCACTTGAGAAAGTGCTCAACATCCTTAGCCAACTGGGAAATGCAAATCAAAACAACTCTGAGATACCATCTCACTCCTGTCAGAATGGCTAAAATCAAAAACACCAATGACAATTTATGCTGGAGAGGATGTGGTGAAAGGGGGACACTCCTCCATTGCTGGTGGGAGTGCCAACTGGTTCAGCCACTTTGGAAATCAGTATGGAGATTCCTCAGAAAAATGGGAATAAACTTACCACAAGACCCAGCAACTCCACTCTTAGGCATATATCCAAAAGATGCCCATTCATACAACAAAGATGTCTGTTCCACTATGTTCATAGCAGCTTTATTTGTAATAGCCAGAACTAGATGTCCCTCAACCGAAGAGTGGATAGAGAAAATGTAGTACATCTACACAATGGAGTACTATTCAGCAGAAAAAAGTAATGGATTAATGAGATTCGCAGGCAAATGGATGACACTAGAAGAAACCATCCTGAGTGAGGTAACCCAGTCACAAAAAGAGAAACATGGCATGTACTCTCTCATATATGGATTTTAGACATAGATCTGGGGAGTGCCAGCCTACAATCCTATGGCCAGAGAGTCTGGGAAACAGAAACTTCATTTAGTGGCTGATTGAAGAAGAGGCAGACTCCCTTGGTAAAGTACTGAGCTGAACTCAAGAAAGCCAGTAACAGAGAGGGAGGACTGATGATCAAAGGGATTAAGACTGGGCTGGTTTAACCCCCAGAAACAGCTGACCAGACAAAGGTTAACTCTTGAATCCCAGGCATCAGCCTGGGAATCCAGCATGGGACTGATCAAGACCCCCTGAATCTGGGTGTCAGTGAGGAGGCCTAGGTAATCTATTGAGCCTTGGGCAGCAGATAAGTACCCATCCCAAGTATACACACGGACTTTGGACTCCCATAGAACAATGTGAGGTGCACTCTCACCCTGAACTCTTGGGGAAGGGTCTAGGCCCTGCCCTATATGAAATGACAGACTATGGACACCCCCATGGAGGGCCTCACCCTCCCTGGGGAAATGAGGGGATAACGGGGGGGGGGGCGGGGTTGGGGGTAGGGCACGGGAGGAGGGGAGGGAAAGGGAGAGGGACCTGGAACTGACTTGTGAAGCAACCTTGTTTCTTATCTAAATTTAAACTGGAAAATAAAATAAAAAAAGAAAAATTAAATGCTTGGAATAAAATAATACTGCACTGTAGAATTAATGTATTCAAGTAAAAAGAGAGATAAGAGGAGCCAACAAATGGGATATAAGAATTGATATATTCTATTGTAAATTCATATAATAAAATAATGGATTGTAAGAAATTGAAATATTGTGTTGTAAAATTCATATAATTAAAAAATGATTTACTATGGGAAGACATAGGTGACAACTTAAAAACATATCATTGAAAGAACACCAAGACATGGTGGTTTCTGATCCCTTCATTGAGCTGTTATGAAAAGATGAGGGAAAGGAGCAAGAGAATGCTTTCAGTAGCAGCAAGAAGATGGACAAAGCCGCCCTAGCTCGTGCTGATACTTAGTTATGTACCACTCTACAGCACCACCATGTGATTTTGTCTCCCCTCAGCTAAGACTGTCTCAGAAACATAAATAAACAAACCCAGACCTGCTAATTATAATTTCCAATGTAAATGATCCAATCAATGAAAGCTTTCTATCACTGTAATAAATGCTAAAATCAATTATCTTATAAAGATTATAAAGAGAAAACCTTTATTTTGGTTTATGGTATCAGAGTTTTTAGTCTGCAGTTGATTGGCGCTATTCCTTTAGGCCTCTGGTGTATAGAATAGTGGCAGAAAGCACATGGTTAGACAAAACAAAAGAGAGGAAAGACATATCACATATGTTCCCAGTGACTGGTAGACTTCCTACCAATAATAGAGTTTCTACTACCTCTTGGTGCCAAGGTAAAAAAGCCTTTAACACATGGGTCTTTAGGGAACATTCCAAATCTAAACCATGTAATCATTTCAGTGAGATGGCAGAAAACCTCAGATTGGATAAAGAAGCAAAACCCAACTAAATGTGGCTGTAAGAAACTTCCATAAGTTATAAGGACACAGATGGGACAAAAGCAAACTTATAGAAAACATACACTCCACAAATAATACAAGAAGGTATGGCTTTGGTAGCGTGTAACAAAGATTTCAAAGCAAGTGATATTACTAGATACAGACATTTCATAATGATAAAAAACAATTTACCAGGTAGATACTACAGTTCTGAAAACATGTGATAAAATAATTAAATTACAAGTACATGAAAAAAACCTAATAGAATTGAAATGAAGATGTAAAAAAATATATAGTCAAAGTTACAGTGACCATATGAAATGTAATTGAAATGTTTCTTGTTCATACTTTGAAGAGATGTGCTTGGTGGTGGGTGGTGTCTTAAGATGAAAGCAAATATATGTAGACATAACTGAACAATTACCTTCCAGGCAGCGGAGATACTCCTAGAGCGTGGAGCAAACCCTAATCAGAAAAATCAGAAACAGAGGACTGCTTTGGAGGAAGCAGATGATGAAAAAATGAAAGAACTACTAAAATCTTATGGTGCTGTTGAGACCAGTAATGGAAATGAGATTAGCTCTGCAGTGACTGGTATGTACATCAGCATTCCTTTCTATTTTATACAGGGTTTAATCTTTTCTTAGCAAAATAAAATCTTTGCCTATATAGTATAATGTTATTTCCTAAGGAGTATAGATGTTTCCCTCTGTTCATTAAACTCCAAATATCCATCATTTTTTTTCGAGAAATTAGTATTCTAAAATTTTATTAGTTAACTACTGAGATGGCTCAGTAGTTAAAAGTATTGGATGTTCTTCCAAAGCACCCAGGTTTGATTCCCAGCTCTCACATGGCAGCCTGTAGTCATCTCTAACTCTAGTTCCAGGGTTTCTGGTACTCTCTTCTGGCCTCTGTAACCGCATACATGTAGGCAAAACACTCAAACCCGTAGAATAAAAATAAATAAATCTCTAAAACTCAATAAAATTTATAGATCATTTATTACCATTAGTTTTTCTTTTCCCACCTTTAAAAGTTTTAATTTTTTAGTTCAAATGATGCTATTTTATTAATATTGTCATAGTATTATATCAAATTTTCCTTAATTTTTAAATTTCTATACAAATTTCCCTTGAGGGGCAGGGCAATTAGTCATTTGCCTCCTGCCTTTTGGAAGATCAGTCTCTAGGTTTATAAACTCTTCTGTGCCCTACTGTGTGGTTACATTTGTTGCTACTGGTCTTCTAGAAAGTGTATCTTGGAATGTCATCAGAAACCACCTGTTTGTAGGTCTATGGGTCTTCTGTATCCTTACACATTATTATTCAGGAAGACACCCAATTGGCCACTGAACACATGGCCTCACAACACAGAACACTATAGAGCATCAGCAGTTCATCTTAGGGTTGCTTGACTGACTGGAAGCTGCAGTCTGTAGCCTATACACCAAGTGAAAACACAAGCACATACCCAAATCCAAATTGGTTTCTACAGAATGTGTCCACTCCTGCACCACTATAAAGCTAAAAACCATGAAAGTCAAAACAGTAAGTCTGGACTGTCTATGTCTGAAAGGAGCAATAATAGACAGGTGGCACCATAACTGTACTTTATTGATAAGATAGCAAGGGATAAAGGGGAGACATTGCCATTTTTATTACCCACATGGGATAAATTAGTGGTGTCCAATTCTGGGAGGAATTGGAGAGTTAAGAACTAGTGTATGTGTGTTGAGGACTTACGGGTAAATAGAACGTGATGTGGGAAAGGAAGTCAGTGAAGAGCCCTGGGCGTACAGACAGTGTGAGCAAGGCGTGAGTGCTAGAGGCACAAGGCACATGAGCTCGATGCACGCTGTGTGAGAAAGGAGCAGTGGGAGTGTTTGAATGAAAGGCACGTTTATCCTATTATCAAGTCTTACACATTCGAAGTTAGGCCTTCCGTACATCAGCCTTTTTCTCCCACAATTCACACTTCCAGGACCTGGAGTTCGTAAGTGTAGATGGTGCATGTGTATGTTAGGAAAGCCTGTATTACTAAGCTGTGTTACCAAGCCCATGTGATTCTATTGAACTGGAGTTACTGGAGTGAAACACGCACCAACTCTTAATCAGACATTAACCTCCCTACCTCTGTTATGAGATGGATGATTGAAACCAAGCTGCTTAATTACTTGTAGAAGGGTTGGAAAAGGCTGATATTATATTAGAGTCCTTGCAGCTAAGATTTCGTTACCTTAAAATTTGTAATAATTACTGAATTTGTTAGGTTCATAATAAAAACATTTCAAGAAAATATATAGCTAGGCAAAAATCTGTTGGTGTTATTTTGTAATAGTTTCCTTTTTATAAAGTGTTGAGAGAGAATTGTTTTTCTTTTCCACGTGATTGAACCTTGACACAGTAATGTATCTGCTCTTGCTATGGAGAATGCAGGAGTGAGAACATGTCTTTCCTAGCCTACCACGCTTCTCACCAACTATAGATTTTCAAGGGTAATGTGATCAGTTAAAACCAAGAATATCCAATATGTAATGATTTATTAGTGATCTAGATCCCATGAAGATCAAGGTTGGGACTACAAAAACTCTTCTCTTTCTTGGATCTCAGTGTGTTTTCTCTCCCTTTCTACAGCCATATCTGAAGATTCAGGCTGAGTTCAGCATACTGGGGAACCTGGGTATTTGGAGATATTGGGGCTCTGCTATAAAGTACTATCTTTGTTTCTATATCTATTGTTTCTTGAGTGTATACTTCCTTGGTCAGGTTCCCAAAGGAATAAAGAGCATAGAGCAAATGGAGCATAGGGCAAACGGAACCCACAATAGGAGAAGAGCCCAGGAGAATACTACAGAGCAGTAAATCAGAGTGAACTTGGATTCAGATAACATCTGTCTACAGTAACTAACTGTGATTGGGAAATTTCCTGAACTTCTCTAACATTTCACTTCTCCTATAAAATTTGTAACAAACTACCTATTTCAAGTGGTTCATGTGAATATTTGACTATTTTGGTAAGATGATACACCAGAAAATAAGCTAGCATATGATAAGTGTGCATACAATGTTGCCAAAGTTAATAATAATGAGAAGCTACCTAGCATTAAGACAGTAATTGTAGTCCTTATCACAACAATTAAAACTGATAAAACATTTTGAACACTCTCATTTTCTAACTTTATTTTTTTTAAGTAAAACATCCTGCTGTCCGAACAAAAAGATACAAGTCATGTTCTTGCGATGATGAAAAAACAATTGATCCTCCTTCCCCTTTACATAAAGTGAAGAGAAGTGAAAGTCTTCCTGCAGTAAGTGACATTGAAGTTCTTTCATTCTTCAGCTAGAAAATTCCATTCCTTCAACTAGCCAGTCTCTTTACATTTTAAAGGATATGGATTGAAGGTGGGTTTTTCATGTCAATTGAACAGAATGAGTTAAGAAGGCATACTCTTAACTCTTGTCAGCACTGACTAGGAGGTATAAATTAGCTGCTTTCCTTTCCACCCTGCTTGAAGTTGTTTGACTACTTCTTTGCCCATAGAAACTGCTACTATCCATTGTATCATCATTCATTCCCCAAACTGTCTATGATATGTAGTTCATAGAACCTTAACAGAAAATAAGAAAGCTACCTGACTTAACTGCCTGGAGTCTCACATGGCTTATAATGTTAGAGTTTGCCATAAAAATAATTATGTGAAGGTAGATGTTTGCCAAAATAACCTAGTGCCATTGTGCTGAAAATTGAGTACATCTACAATATAAACAAGATAGGAAAATCTTGCACAAAGAATATCATAAGGTAGATGTTTTTCCTGGGCACAAATTTGCACCTTCTGTTTGCTTCTGTAATCATAAGCACTTAACCATATAAAGAGATAGACCTTGAAAAAAAAAGAGAGATAGACCTTGAATTTTTGTTTGTTTTGCAGTTTCGTATTTTATAGTTTTACTGTGATGTATTTCATAAATGGCAACACAAAGATTGCTTCACCATGTCTAATAAAGACAGCTCATTGGGTAAAAGCACTTGCCACCAAGCCTGACAACTTGAGTTCCATCCCTAGAATCCACATGGTAGAAAGAGAGAACCAACTCCCAAAAGTTGTCTTCTGACTTCCAGGCACACACACACACACACACACACACACACACACACACACACACACACACAGACACACACACACAGGTAAATTTTTTCTAGAACTTACCAAGTAATTCTATTGTGTGTATTTTCCATATTTCTTGTAAACACCAAAGTAAAAGTTTGGAGCAGTATACTTCTGAAGGCTTTGACATATAATTAAAATAATATACATTGAGAATTTATGAAAAGATAGATAATATGAGTCAGACCATCTATCATCACTTATGCATGACAACTATGTATGCAGGATTTTGGGAAACATACACAAAAATAAAACCATGTTCCTGTTTATATGAACTAATAAGGAAATGTTTTATAAAAGTCATTATATGGCTCTGAGATTATTAATTTATGGAAAGGTAAGTCAGTATGGATTATGTTAGGCAGAGATTTTACGTATGAGATACGTGTCACAGAACAATAATAACCAATATTTTTGACCTCTTAGTTTATAGTATTGTTGTTCTTATCGTTGTACGTGAATACATCCTCTCAGGTCAGGTATAAGAAAGAGGAAGAGGGGGAGGAGGGAAGGAAGAGGGAGCTGGGATTGACATGTAAAGCAACATTGTTTCTAATTTAAATTTAAAATTTTTTAAAAAGAACAAAAAAGAAAAAAGAGGAAGAGCTGTCTGCTGCAGTAGGTCAGCTGGAAAAAGTGCGACCAGGGGCACACATAGGCAGTCTAGCTCTAGAGCCCACTTCTTTGTTCTTACCCAAAAGAGAGGGAAGTGGGCAGAGTGGGCTGAGTGCATTTCAGGCAGGAACATTAGTGTTGCCATGGGCACAGGGTAGTAGAGTTAAACCCCTCTCTCGTGCTTTTTGAGTGTAGTGTCTCATATATCCACGACTGTGTGTGGGATTTTAATAATGTGTAGTGACAGTCGTGAAGTCTTAAAGTTGCATATGTGATCATGCGATAGTATGTATTGGATTTTTTTCTTCCCATATCTATAATTTCAAATGAAGTCAGAAATGATAATTCCTTGTATGGTTGCTCCTTCTGTTTTTTCAGTAGATCTACTACATAAATCGAGATATATATTAAATTTATTTTTTATGTCTTAAACATTCATTCATTTAAAGTTACATAAAACATGAGTGCATTTTGAGAACAAGGAGAGATGAACTTTCCAGCTACATATTATTTGTACTTGTTGGACTATCAGAAAACACATCTCCCTCTTATAATAAAATTCCTAATGTTTTCATCTGGCAGCATCAGACCGTCAGTGCTATTCTACAAGATATAGAAGAAAAACAAGAAAACTTACTAAAATTTGAAATAAGAAACTCTGAAGATGCAGGTAAATATGTACTTCTTATTTCAAAGTTCATAATAGCTGAAGGTGTGTGGTGTGTGTGTGTGTGTGTGTGTGTGTGTGTGTGTGTGTGTGTGTGTGTGTGGCAGGCATAGGGTATGGTGCATGTATGGAGATCAGAAGACCTCAGGTGTTGGTCCTCATCTTCCGTCTTGTGGACTCATGGGTCTCTTTGTGGTTTGCCACTGAGCTATGTACACCAGGCTAAGTGACTCAGGAGCTCCCTGGAACTCTCCTGTCTGCACTCCCCATCTCTCCTTAGGTACACTGGGGTTATAGATACACAACCACACTTGGCTTGATGTGGATTCTAGGGATTTGAACTTGGTGGCTCATACATGGCAGATGCTTTTAGCCACTGAGCCATTACTCTAGTCCCACAGACGTTTTGAAAATATGATAGTACTTTAGGTGCTGCAAATTATAACAAAAGTGAATAATACAAACAAGAAGTTTGTGAAATTTTGACACAGACATTTCTATACAAAGTCAAAATAGCATGCATTGGGTGAGAAACATTTCGAACTATGCTAAGAGGTAGACAACTACTAAGTATATGTTCAGATGAAGGTGTGGCTTCAACCCATGCATAAAGAGTGTTGAGCTTGCTGCTCTTTGAATGCTGTTTTAACTTTCCTATTGCTGTGATGGACGCACACTTATTCCCTCCAATAGTGTCTCTGATAAATAAGTACACAGTATCAATTTACATGTGACATAGCCTCATGTCCTTTCTTACAGCAAAGGTTGCCTTGTGCTACTGTGTTGTTATTTTTAATATCTGAAATTGAAAATTCAGTTTAAAAAACTCAATGTAAAGATTATGTGTATAATTTAAATGTTTTTAATAAACAATGTCAAATCAATTACACAAACTTATTTCTAAATTTTAATGATTTCATACATTTTGCTCCTTTGTTGATATAAGCATAACACGAAAACTAATTCTTCACCTTATTATTAGAGAAATATGCACTCATTCCTCTGGGGCACTGACCCTAGACCTTTCCAGTCATTTGATTTGCACAGGGAGATTCTGTGATCCTCAGACATCTGACTAATGTTTTTTTTTCAAGTTTAGTTATCTAGAAAAAAAAGGCAGCAGTTCCAAAAACATTAGCAAAGATCTTAAGAAACAAATCCAAAAGTTAGGTGAATAGTGGTAGGGGAATGCCATGTATTAATTTAAGCCTTTAGATTCCTATTTGAGAATCTGGATTTAGGCATAATCCACATTTATGTGTAAATCCTCTGGATCTAGATCATTGCCAGACTCCTACCAATGATACTGTGTTGCTGTTTTCTTTGGGTGTCATTTTTTATCCATCCAGAAAATTCTCTTTATATATCATCAGTGTAAGCTCCTTGAGGTCAGGGACCAAATTGATGTCTCAAGAACATAGATGCAAGGTGCTTTTGTCCTCTTTCACGGTCAGCACTCTAGTGTAGAAAATCATTTATAAAAAGTAAAGAGGAGTTAGTGGAATTATCTGTGAAACTTTGATTGAAGAAAAGTTGAATCCTTGAAGGATAAAAAGGAGGATGATGGATTTTTTTCTTTACTTATACCGTGTTCCCAGGCTGACAGATAAACCATCAGTCTTTTTGTCGAGACTAGAAACAAAGTTGCTTCCCATAGAAGTTGTCATTATTCTCTTTTCAGAGATCATATTCTTTGTCCTAGAAATAATAAAAGTGATATGTCAATGTCATGTACCTCTTGCATCTGTAAATTCTGAATATCTTACTGTGTTTTCACTATATGTGGTTTGCTCTAGGATTATTTGGGAATGCCATGCTTTATGATATTGATATACTTTTGAAAAGTAATGCCAAGAGTTCCAAATTACAGTAGGTAACATTTTACTTAAGGAAAATAAATATTCAGTCATTTTAGCCAATAGTGAGCTGCAGTTTCAGTGAGGGTTCTAAGCTTCAGTTTCAGTAAGGGCCTGTGTCTCAAAAGTAAGGTGGAAGCCAATGAGACGCCTCAGCTTGCTGCACAAGTCTGACTATGTATGGTGCTTGTATCTGTCTGAGATATATCACAGATATACAACACCACCACATAAAAGAAAGACAAGAAGAAAAGAAACCTAATAATAGCGATAAGATGAATCCCAGCTCCTAGAGCTTAAATCAATAGGGTAGCAGAATTAGAATTTAAGATGGACTGTTCTTTCTTGGTACAGTGTTCTTATATGAGTACCTCAGGGCATTTCATTAGGATGATATAATCAAAAAAGCTTTGAGTTAAGTATGTGGGCCACTTATATTAGAAAGTGGGTTGAGAATAATGAGATTAAGCATAATTAAAGAAATAGGTCTAAACTTCGGTGAACATATTAAGCATTTGCCACTCTTCATTTAACTGACCTTTTATTTTATCACTGTTGTTTCTAGAACAATATATTGGAAGGATGTTAGAGATAAAAGAAGTTATGGATAATATACTTGCTCAACAGAAGACAGAAAGGGATGATCTAGCTAAAAAATACAGGTGAGTAGGGAAAAGGACTTACCCACTTAAATTATTATAATGCCAGAGTTTATATTTGGGATGTTTCCCAAAGGCCCATGTGTTAAAAGCTTAGTTTCAAGGTTGGTGCTGTTGAGAGGTGGTGGGGCTCAGTGTGAAATTTTCCAGTTGTTGGGGGACAAACACTGGAAGAGTATGATGAAACCCCAGTACCTCCTTCCTCTCTTTTACATCTTGACATGAAGTGTGGCCTCACCACAGGATAAGAACAGCAAGCTGGCAATGACTGAAACCTCCAAAAGTCTGGCCCCCAAGCAAAATTCAGGGATTTGTTACAGTCGTTGAAAAACGGGTGATATTAGTAGTTAGGCCAGGAATTTTTTTACTCTCTAATTAAATATGACCTCTGACAGAATCATTTCTGTTCCTAGCTCCTAGATTTTGAGGAAGATCCTCACTAATTTTCACAGTGTTTGCACCAGTTTTTGCTCCCAACAGTAATGCACAACGATTCCTCTTTCCCTATATCTTCTTCTGGATTAGTTGTCACTTTTGAAGATTGTTATTCTGACCAGAAAGAGATGGAATCTCAAAGTATTTTAATTTGCATTTCCCTGGTAGCTAATGATGTTGAACATATTTTTGAAGTGCTTATTGGTCATTTGTATTTCTTCTGTTGAAATTTCTCGGTTCCAACACGTGGTGCATTGTTTTTAAACTGGGTTGTTTTCTTGATCCTTGGTCTATTCACTCCTTGTATATTGTAGAATCAGTCCTCTGTTGGATGTACAGATGGCAAATATTTCTCTTATTCTGTGGAATGCCCCTTCACTTACTAAGTTTCCTTTGTTGGTCAGAAGATTTTGGATTTTATGAACTCTCATTTGTCAAGTGTTGATTGTATTTTCTAAAGGACTGTGGTCCTGTTTAAACAGTCCTTCCCTATTTCTCTGTGTTGTAGGGAACTTCTCATCCTTTCTCTGTCAGTTTTAGAGTTCCAGGTTTATGTTGCAGTCTTTCTAAATTTCCAGGTGATTTTTGTGCAGAGTGAGGGATGAGGAGCTAGCTTTGTTCTTCTACATGCAGACATCAAGCTTCTCCAGCATCGTTAATTGAAGATGTTATCTTTTCTACAGTGTGTACTTTGGCCATCTTTGGCAAAGATGAGGTAGCTGAAGTTTTGTGGCCTTGTGATTTTTTTTTTCTGGTCATGAATTCTATAGATGTTTCTTTCCTACATGTGATGGTTATTTATGTCAACTTGACATAGTGTGGAATCTCCTGGGAAGAAAGCCTCATTGAATTACCTAGATCAGGCTAGCCTGTGAGCATGTGTGTGAGGACTGTCTTGATTGTTAATTGATGTAGAAGGACCAAGGTTAGTGTGGGCAACACCATTTTATAGGATGGACCCTGAATTGTATAAGAGAGGAGAATGCTAATGAAAACCATGGATGTGTGCCCATCTCTCTGTTCTTCACTATGTGTGTGTGGTGTGATCATCTGTCCCAAGGTCTTGCCTCTGAGTTCCTGCAGTGGTGTACTGTGACTTGGAATTGTAAGCAAAATAAACCCTTTCCTTTCTTGTGTTGTCTTTGTCTGGTTACTTGTCACAGTAAGTCAACTGCTGAAATTTTCATTGATTCAATTTCAAGTTTTAGCATACGAATTGGGCTTCATTATTTCATTCTTTTTTCTTTATTTTTCTCTCATGCAATACATACTAACAGCAGCCGCCACTCTTCCCAGTGCCCCCATGCCACCAGGTGCCCTGCTTCTCTGTTTCCTTTTGGGAAGGAGCAGGCCTCCCAGTGGTATCAACTGAACATGGCATAACAAGACGCCATAAAGACTAGTCATAAACCCTGTGGACAAGGCAACCTCGTAAGAGGAAAAGGCTCCCCAAGAGCAGGCACAAGGATCAGAGACATCCTCACTTCCATGAAAGAGATTTGTTTTAGTTTTCTGTTTGTCCATGCTTCTCCTCATACCCCTTCTTCCTTTGTGTCTTCCCACTCCCGTTCAGCTGTCATCTCACAGGAAATATTTTGACCCCATCATTTCTCACCACTGCATTGTTCATAATCAGATTAACTAGCTTTTTGTTATCACAAATGTCATTCATATTTGACTAATCAATTAATTAATTTTATGGGTTTATGTACTTCTAATTACTGAGGATCATTAAGGAACTATTATTGCTAATATTGGAGAAAATGTTCTATAATTCTTTATTCTTCAGACATATTTAAGAATTAGTTTCTCATGACTTAGCTACAAATGCACTCTTTATTACATTCACATTTTCTAAATATTTTATTTATATTTTCCCTTATTGCCACTTTTGACATTTATTATATAGCCAGCCTTTCTGAGCTTGTCTAGAAATCGGCTCTTAAAGCTTTATTTATAAATCTTTTACCTTCATTTTCCCTTTTTCTTTTTGTATAGCCAATTGCATTTAGCTACATATACAAATCCCCACTTATGGAATTAATCATAAGGTATTTCTGGTTTTAATTTTTTATTGAGCTTTTTCTTTCACACAACATATTTGATCATGTTTTTCTCCTACCCCAGTTCCTCCCAGACCTTCCACCTTCCTACCCACTCAACTTTCTGTTCTTTCTCTTAACATGCCCTTAAAAAGTACAGAAATAAAAATCACTCACAAAACCCAATAAACACACACACCCAAACAGAAATCAGGATAAACAAGTAAGAGACCTGTAAGATAAAAAAAATACCAAAAGAGAGCAAAATGAGACCAAAAGTCTACAAAAAAATATCATTTGAATTTATTTTGTGTTGGCAGACTATTCCTGGGCATGGAGTCTGCCCTAAAGTGGTAATATGCCCAGTAAGATTCCATTGGAGAAAACTAATTTTTTTGCCTTTGCCAAGAGGTATCAATTGTAAATAGCTTCTTGGCCAGGTTGGGACCCCTGTCCACATTTGTAAAGGGAGGCTTTTTCCTTGAGAGAAGCCTTCCCGCCAGCCTGGTTCTAGAGCCGCATCAGAGGAGGCTATATTAATTATGAAGCTGTTGGCCTTGTTTGTTTCTTACTGGCTAGCTCTGACTTAAGTAATTGCCCCATAATTGTTAATCTAAGTATTTCTCTTACCGGAGAATAGTTCCGGGCTTCCTACCCCATGGTGTTACATCTTGACTCGCCTGTGTTTCTCTTTCCCAGAATTCTCCTGGACTCCTAGTCCCACCTATCTAGATTCCCTATTGGCCAGCAGTACTTTATTGACATATACACAGGACTTCCCCAACACACATTCCCTTCTTAGCGCTGGAACTCCATCTGGCTTGAACCTGTGTAGGTTCTGTGTGCGCTGACATAGTACCTCAATTCTCTGTAAGACTGAGTGCTCCACAGTCTATTGTTCTCTGCATTGTCTGGTTGTGGCTATCAGTGTTAGCTTCTCTCTTACTTAGGGTTTTAATACTGTGGAGAGACACCATAACCATGACAACTCTCATAAAGGAAAGCATTGAATTGGGGGCAACTCACTCACAGTTTCACATTTTTAGTCCATTATCATCATGGTGGGAGGCACAATTCAATGAGTTTGGTATGCTGATCTTCATTTTCCTTCAATTCTAAAATGTTTTAATTTCCTTCTTGATTTCTGTATAAACAAGTTTTTCATCCAGTAGTGAGTTTATGTACTTTTTGTTGATTATCCAGCTTAATCGGTTGTGATCAGATAGGATACAGGGTGTTACTTCAGTTTTCTTGTATTTTTTGAGTCTTGCTTGTGTCCAAGTATGTGATCAATTTTGGAGAAAATTACATGAGCTGCTGAAAAACATACATTCTTCTATGTTTTAGGTGGAATGTTCTGTAGATACCTGCTAGGTCTGTTTGATTTTTTATGTTATTTAACTTAGGAATTTCTCTGTGTAGTATTTTGTATGGGTGACTTGTTTATTGGTAAGAGTGGGGTATTGAAGTCACCCAAATCACTCTGTGAGGGTCAACGTGATTTTTAGGTGTAGTAGTGTTTCTTTTATACACTTGAATGCCCTTGTATTTGATGCATAAATGTTTTGAATTGCAATATTTTCGTGGTGAATTTTATCCTTTGGTGAATGTGTAGTATACTCTATATCTTCTGATTAATTTTGGCTTGAAGACTGTTTTGTCAATGGCTCCACTTTCCTGCTTCTTGGTTCTATTTGTTTTGAATAACTTTTTCTATCCTCTTGTCCTAAGGTGATATCTATCCTTGATGGTACTGTGTGTTTCTTGAATTCAACAGAAAAACACATCCTGTTTTCTTTTTTCTTTTCTTGGCTTTGGCATTTATTTTTAATTTTTAATTTTAATTTAGAAACAAGGGTGCTTCACATGTCAATCCCAGGTCCCTCTCCCTTTTCCTCCCCTCCACCCATGCCCTCCTACCAACACCTCCAGTACCCCCTCTTTACCCAGGGAGGGCAAGGCCCTCCATGGGCGTGTCCATAGTCTGTCATTTCATCCAGGGCAGAGCCTAAACTCTCCCCCAAGAGTTCAGGGTGAGAGTGCATCTCTCATTGTGGGAAGGGCACATAAAGTCCATTGTATGCCAGGGATGAATACTGATCTACTACTCAAGGGACCATAGATTGCCTAGGCCTCCTCACTGACACCCACATTCAAGGGGTCTTTATCAATCCAATGCTGGATTCCCAGCCATCAGTCTGGGATTCAAGAGCTACCCCTTGTTCAGGTCAGCTGTTTTGGTGGGTTAAACCAGCCCAGTCTTAGCCCCTTTGCTCATCAGTCCTCCCTCCATGTCACTGGGTTCATTGAGTTCAGTTCAGTGTTTAGCTGTCGGAGTGAGTCTGCCTCTGCTTCCATCGGTCATTGGATAAAGGTTCTGTGGGATTGTAGGTTTTCACTCCCCAGATCTATGTCTAAAATCTATATATGAAAGAGTACATACCATGTTTGTCTTTTTGTGACTTGATTACCTCACTCAGGATGGTTTCTTCTAGTGGCATCCATTTGCCTACAAATTTCAAGATT